AAAAAAAAAAAAAAAAAAAACAGAAAAATAAACAGATCTGTGCCTGGTCTCTTGATTTTATCCAGATAGATAGCTACTTTGGAGAATATATATTATATATGTGGATAATAAAAAAATAACAATATGCTTAACTTATTAGTAATTGATTGAATAAAAATTGTCATTTTTCTGCTGATACATTGATACCAGAATTCCTACAGTATTGGAAAGAAGTTAGAAGAAAGATTCTTCTCATGTATTATGTGGGAGAATATATTGGTTACATTTACAGTAGAGCAAGGATTCTCTGCCTTGGTGAAATTGACCTTTAAGGGGCATGTGCTTGCCCACCCATGTGTTTGTGTGTTTTTCCAGGGAATCATTGTAAACCTCTTTAAGTGTTGGAGCACTGAGCTTTGTATGCCCTGGGCTCTCAGGGATTTAGCTGCATTGTGGAACGCTGTCTTAGGCATTGTGCAATGATTAGCATGCTGCACTGGGGGCTATTCACTAGTAGCCAGTAGCAACCCTCCTTTGTTACAACAGCCATGTCCAGATTTTGCCACATGTCCTTTGGAAAACAGTCATCCTTGCTGAGAATCTCTGCTCTAAAGATGAGCTCCTTTGTGTAGTTTTTACAATACACTGCAGTATCTCTGGGGTGGCAGGTGTTCTAACAAATTAAAACATGAATAGAGGTTGTTTAGGAAAAGGAATGAGAGGTGGAGAAGAATTTGCATTGTACTGGTTGCATTTTCATATTGTCAATTTTTTTCAGTTAATGTTTATACCTTTTGAACTTTAATATAATTTTTATTCTAAAATTTTCTCTAGGAGTTTGGAAGAAATTATAAATGATGAAGCTGATGACCTTAAAGAACTTGGCATATATTTCTCTGTGAGTATTTAGGAAAGTCAAGTACTTTAAACTGCATGACTGGAGATCAAACCTTAAGCCTTGCAGATGCTAGGCAAGCATACTAGCATTGTGATATGCTAAGCCACATCTGGTTTTGTTAGAATAATTTTTATCATGGTATTTTAAATATGAAATCTTATTTTTCAAAAATAATTCTTTTTTTTCTTTTTTTGTGTGAGTGGGGATTGAACTCAGGACCTTGTACTTGCCAGGCAGGCACTTATTCTATTGAGTTATCTCCCTAGCCCCCCAAAACATTTCATTTCTGTACTGTAAAACTTTCCTTCCCACTTGTTCTTTATTTGATACTGTGCGTGTGTGGGGGGATGTGTAGTATTTTTTTGTGGCCAGCTCAGTGGAGGTGGAGCTGGCATACCATGTGGTGCCAGGTATGGAACCACAGTTCCTAAGCTTGGCTAACCAGGCACTTTAGACTACTGAGCTATCTCGCCAGCTATATAGTGAACT